GGCTCCCTGCTCAGCAGGAAGCCTGCTTCTCCCTGACCCTCCCCCTGCTTGTGTTCCCTCTCTCTCTGTGTGTCTGTCAAATAAATAAAATCTTTTAAAAAAATAAATAAAACTGACCTTAGAGTAAATAATGATTTTACCTAAATTTGTGTGTAAATTGTTTGATTTTCATAATTCTACAACTAGATAGCCTCAGCTCTACCCAGGATAAAAACGAAGATGAGAAAGGTGATCCTCAGAAAGACACTTCCAAAAACGTTTGGACTAGTTCTGACTGTGAAAAACAAGTCCTTGCACCCTCAGAACCTAACCTGTTGGCTGAAAGCAAGGAAGAAATATCAGAAATCAAGAGAGAAGACAGACTCACACCCCAGCCAGGTGATGGTAAGTCTGGTTTCCACTTCCAGTGTCCAGATGCAAACCATGCACGTAGATAGATAATACTGTTGATAGATTTGCTACCACTATCCCGTTCCAGGTTCCTTGCATTACCATTTTTGTATTAAACATTTGGAACCACCCACTGAAATACCAGATGGCTGGAAGAGCAGAACTGTGGGCATTCAGACATGACACAGAGAGCAGAACTGACATGTAGCTCTGCCCGTGCTGCCCCCAGGCCACTCGCCCAGCCTCATCCGGGTCAGGCCCATCCACGAGCGAGGGTGAGGTTTTGATATTTGGGAGGTTCTTTTGGACAAAACAGTAAGATGGACATATTATTAACAGCTACTTAACAGATCATTAATCATTTGCACATGAATTTCTTTTAAATGGCTACAACTAATTGGCCTATTTTAAATTTAGGATTTTGGGTGTTTTGTTTTTTTTTAAGAAAACGTTTTCAAGGTACATAATTTCAAGACTATATGAATCATGACTGCACTTGGAGCCAACCATGTAGTGTTTGGATTTATTTACTCTTTGGTTGATTCCATTCATTACTTCACGCTATGATGGTGGGTGCATACCAGCCCATATGTCACACATCACTGTCGTTATGGGCCGACTGGCCAGAGTTGATGAGTACTTTGGGGTTATTTTCTTTGTTAATCGGTTAGTGACCATAGTAACCCACAGACGGATGTTCTCATTATAACAACACCAAAACTGTTGAGATGGGACAGTTGAAGTTTTCCTTCTAAATCAGTTGCTATTAAACACAGATATAATTCAGAGTCAGATTCATTTAAAATGAAACGTTCATTTAAGAATTTCTGAGCTCAGGCCATTCTCCTTTCTTTTTCCCTCAGCCCTCCTTCCCTCTAATGCCTCAAGGTCTTCTCAAATAATGTCTTGGAATGGACCCTGTTTTAGGTGTGTTAATTTTAACGGTATTTAGGTAGACGGTGTAGTCTCAAGTGGGGCATTCCCTTCATAATTCTGGTTTCCTTCCTCCTGCTCTGACAGTCCCTCAAGTGCTGATGAAGCCCTTGTTGTAGGACAGCGTGTGGCTCACTGGACTAAACATCAGACCGAGAACAAACAACTCATGGACCATAAGTCTCTTCATCTGTGGCAGGGAAATTCTGGTTTGTGAGTTGGAAATTGGTCCCTTGATGAAGGCAGATGCTAGGTTTACTTACACATACTTTTCAAAAATCACTAGACCTTTAGAAATTCTATTTGGCCAGTGAAATTTGCCTTGGCCTCATCCACTCCAGACAATGCCAACTTTTCCCCCATTCCTGACTTCTCAGATCACTGAGCTGAGAATTCCATACAAGCGATAATGTTTCACCTCTCCCCACTAACATGGATTTCCATGAAAAACAAACAGAAGGGTGACAGGGGGCACACTATGTGAAAATGTTTATTCTATGCACATAAGCTCTTCTAGAACTGGAGTGGTATGTGCTTTGCGGGGACTGAGGTTTTGTTCTCACTGGAATTCTAAGGGTCTGGAAGGATGGCTGTGTCGTCACAAGATGCGTCATCTCCAGTCTTGAGCCATTAAATTATACTTCATGAAAACAATGACAAGAGAAATATGTTCCCCGATGTAGCTGCTAGCTACCGAGAATATCAACTGATTTGGAATCAATCCTTTAATGCTTTTTAATCAGAGAATGACTTCTGATCTTTAAACATTAATGCATTAACTGTGGTTCTTCAAAAAATCTGAATACACAGTGATTATAGGATGCACTTATTTTATGTACATTAAAAAAGAAAGAAACTCTAAAAATTAAGCTGTGACTTAATACCCAAATGAGAGCCCAGACCAGGTCAAACCACCCTCTGTTGCTTTGATATTTCTTTCATTTGTCCTGAGGGATTCGGCAGTCCTTCTGCCTTCATTGCTGTGCTTGGCATGTACTAGGGCAACCTTTCTGTACATCTCAGGATGCAGATGTGAGAGAGCTTCCTCTGTCTGCAGGGATCTCCTTTCCTTAGGTTCCATGAAGCACTTAGTTATTCCTTTGCAAGAATATAAAAAAATTTTGGTTCTTCCTCCAACGATACATATTTACTTCTTTAATATCAAATTTATCCTCTCCCGCCTTATATGCAAAGTTTTTTGGTACGCATGCTAACTTTTCATTTCAATACCAAATCATAGTGAAACGTTTTGAAGACATTGTAGAGGTAATTAAACTGAACTCATGTAGTAACAGACAATGCGTTTGACTCAAGTGTGGTGTTGAAGTAATAACAGTATTGTAGTTATGACTAAGCTCCTGGGTGCTCGGGCAGTGACAACCACTTCGCACCTGCCACTGGGCCAGCAATGATTGTAAGATGGCACAGTTACTGGCTGTACAACATGCCAATCTCAGGGGTGTTCAAGTGTGGGAAAAGCTGACATTTTTGAATTTATGAAATATGGGAATACTCCCAAGTTTGTGAAATGACCAGTGGCTTGATTAGAAAAATTAAAAGATGATGACATTGCCAAGTAGAATGACAAATCATAGACTTCTAGATCTGGGGAAGCACTTTAAAAGGTCACCGAGGAAAAAATAAAATAAAAATAATGATGAGGATGAAAGTCGTTCAGGAACTGTGGCAGAGGTTAAGGGCATAGGCTCTGTAGCCACATTCCTGGTCTTAAGTCCTCTTACTGGTGGTGTGACCTTGGGCGAGTAAAGGTGCCTCAGTTTTCTCCTCTGTAAAATGCACTACTTATTTCTGAGAGATGTTAATATATGTACTGAGAACAGTGCCTGGCACATTGTAAGTACTTGATAAGTGTTAACCATAATTATTATTTAGATCCACTGTGGTTTTTTTTTTTTTAAAGATTTTATTTATTTATTTGAGAGACAGAGAGCACGAGAGGGAAGAGGGCAGAGGGAGAAGCAGACCCCCTGCCAAGCAGGGAGCCCGATGCAGGACTCGATCCCGGGACTCCAGGATCATGACCTGAGC